CTATAGAAGTAATGTAGTCAAAAGGCATCTTCATGGTGGAGGAGCCATTAGGCTTTTGATGCCCAATAAATTACTCAAAACTAATATCATATATTGGTGTTTTACTTGCTCTGTCTCTTTTGTAGATATTGGGTCAACAAATTTCTAAAGCGGAATCATTCAAAGTTTCCCGAGTGGGCTAAAATGCCAAGCCTCTCTTTTCTTATTGCGTTTGATTGTGGCATGCGGCAAATGTTCAACTAGCATAGTAAAGCAAAAACGAATAAAGCAAGTGGAGGCTCTAATGGATGCCAATGCCTACGTAGGGAAACTATTGCGGTAGATTGATCTCCACTGGAAAGCAAGCACTTGCTAGATGGAGATTTTTATCTTATGCTTCAGCTACATTTTAGCTAGAGTGAACTTTGAAAATTACACTAAACTCCCCAGAACTTCAGCGTTTTGCCAACTTTCAAAATCGCACTAAACCCCCAATAATCTTTTGGAATTGCAGAAAACCCCCAATATGTTTCAGCATTTTGGAGAAAACCCTCATAAATTGGAACCAAAAAACAACATAAAAATGCACTTTGAAAGTCACTGCGGGTTTTGTCACCAAAAAGATAGTGGGGGTTTTCTGCAAAAGTTATTGGGGGTTTAGTGCAATTTTAAAAGTTATTGGGGATTTACTACATTCTACACAACGCTGAAAATTCTTGGAGGTTTACTATAATTTACCCTAAGATAAATTCAACAAACAGGTATGAAGTATGACCTACCCTCACTGATAAGATCCCGTACTATTAGTAATGTTTTACGCTGCAAAAGAAGAGAACGGGTAAATGTGCTAAGTAAAGGCGTAAATGTGACAAATGGAGGCAAAAGACAACTTAAGACAACTGTCTTCCATTTTCGCTTTCACTCCAAACCATTTCTTGCAGATATCAGTTCTCCAAGATGTTCCGCTGTTGCGCGCACCTGTCGCATGAAGAAACCACGATGAATTTTGGTAAAGAACAGGTTTTGGAAGCGCAGGAGTCTGTTTGGGAGCTGCGCAGTCGACCGCGGCGCAAGGCCGGTCGACCGCGAACGTGCATAGAACCAGGCATGAGCCTGGACTTAGTGCGGTTGACTGCCACGGTCGACCGTCAGACTCTGTATGCGATCTATGGTCTCTATCGTTGGATCGCGTCGACCGCGCGATTGGGGCGATCGACCGCCAATTGGGTCAAGGCCCAGTTTTGGTTTCCTATTCTTATTTGTTTTTTTGTGTTTGTATAAATACCAATACACGTTCTAGGGTTTCTTAAGGCTAGAGTTTGGGATATTTGGAGCACAGAAAAGAGGTATTTTCTGAGCTATTTGATTAGGGTTTATTTGGAGAGATTAAGAGCTTTGTTGGTGAGATTAGTTTGTTCCTTCGAGTGATTTATAATCTTAAGTTGTACTCTTCTTCTCTATTAGTGAAAACCCCATCCCCTTCTTATCCGGTGGATGTAGGCAATTGCCGAGCCACGTTAAAATTTGTGTTTGGTGTTAGTGCATTGAGTTTGGTTGTTTTTTTTGGCCCACTTTGATCGGCGTTTGGTTTGGTTCCTCGACACGGTTTTTCCACAACAATTGGTATCAGAGCTCGGGCTACGCTTGGGCTATTTGGAGGAGTAGAACGATTTGGAAAGCTCGTCTAAGGTTTCAGTTGGTGAGAAAGGTGGGATCTTTTTGGTAAAGCTTCTTTCTTTTCTTAGTTTTGGATCTATTCTTTATTTGTTTCCGCATTGGTTGTTGGTGTGTTGAGGATTATGGCCGAGAAAGAGGGTGTTGAGGGTGGTTCTTCAGGTGTGAAGACTGTCCAAAGTTTGAGTATCCACTCGATGAAGATTGACGTGGAGAAGTTCAAAGGCACTAACAATTTTGGACTTTGACGATGCGAAGTCTTGGATGCACTCAATGCTCAGAATTTGGAAGATATATTAGAGTTGGACCGGAAACCGGACGATATTGATAAGAAGGTTTGGAAAAAGATGAATCGGACTACGTGTGGTGTGATTAGGTCTTGTCTCACTCAAGATCTAAAATATGATGTGATGAATGAGACTTCAGTTAAGAAGATTTGGGAAGTCCTAAAGAGCAAGTACTTGACGAAGAGCGTCGAAAACCGCTTGCATTTGAAGAGAAGGTTTTATCGCTTCCAATTGAAGAAGGTGACATCTATCAGTGATCACATGAACCACTACACGAAGCTTCTTACAGATTTGACGAATGTAGATATCATTGTTAAAGATGAGGACAAGACGTTGTTATTGTTGAGTTCCTTACCCAACGAGAAATATGAGATGTTCGTTCTTACTCTTATTAATGGGAAGGCATCTCTTTCATATAGTGAGGTCACCGTTGTATTAGTGAATTACCAACTTAGGAAGAATGATAAGGAGACTTTTATTGAGCCGGTAGCAGGAGCATTGGTTACAAGAGCAAATGGTTCAAACCGAGATAGAAGGTCACAGTCTAGAGGGGTATATTTTAGAATTCGTAGGAATCAGTATGCTTTTTGTAAAGAAGATGGACATTGGAAAGCTGAATGTCCAAAGTTGAATGATCAAGCCGGGAAGAATAAGAGGAAAGTTATTCAGGCTTCAGAGGTGAATGTTGTCAAGGCTAATGGGAACAATTCAGATTCAGATTCTTCGAGCTACTCATTATCTGCACTGCCGTCAGTTTGTGTTGCCTACACTACATAATGGATGTTAGACACGGGTGCTACATATCACATTTGTCCTAGGAGGGATTGGTTCTTCAGCTTTCAGGAGTTAGAAAGAGAGGATTTTGTGCTCATGGATAATGATCATGAATGCCCTGTTGATGGTATTGGCACCGTTCGGATTAGGATGAGTGACGGAATGATTTGGGAGTTGGTTGAAGTGAGGTTCGTTCCTCAGTTGAAGAACATCATTTCACTTGGAGCCATTGTTTTAAATATCCCCGACATGGCCCGATATATCCCCCGATATATCCTTTTACAGGGCTTGCCGCAACCGATATGGTCTTTAAATATCCTTTACCGCTTTTTGGCTATTTTGAGTGATAAATCGCCGATATGACTGATATATTAGCCGATATGTGGACCAATATATCTTTTTATATAGCTTGTTGCAAAATAATATACCGTGTTTAGAATTTTTGGACAAGATATCAAGATTTTCTTATTATATCAAATGATATTTTGCCCTAAAAAAAGCAGATCGAATGTTGCAACATTGCTTTGCACTTTTGTTTGTTTTAGAAGGTTGCTTAGTGATCCTAAACATATATTATTCATATTTTGTAAGCTTAAATTTCATTACATATGTTGAGATTACATTTTAATGCATTATACTATGTATGCAAACATTCATTATGACATTCCGATATTTACCACATATCCCCGATATTTCCCCGATAGCCGCAATCCGATATTAATTTTGGTCATCCGATATTTCCCCGATATCCGATATTTAAAACGTTGCTTGGAGCTTTGGAGGCGGCAGGCTATAGGGTGACCTTAGGGGATGCACGTTTGAAGGTTACATTTGAGTCCATGATTGTGATGAAGGACGTCAGAAGGAGTAACTTATACTATTTGCTTAGGAGCACGGTGATTGATAGAGTTCTGACGATTTTATTGGATTTGGCTAGATTATGGTGTGGTTTGGTGCTGGGGTATTTGATTGGTGATGTCGTGAATAGGTTGTTGAGGAGTGCTTTGACCTGCAGATGGAAGTCCTTTGAGCACATTTGGATGAGCAAGACCGTGGTGGAGTTAGGCACTTCTATCCATCGAGCGAGGGGTCTTTTAGGAGGTGCTCAATCAGGCATTTGGGGCCTTCCAAGGAGGCATCATTGGAAGGTAATCATTTTGTAGTTTTCGCAGTTGATGATTGTTCTAGACATTATTGGGTCGCGATCAGTTCCCATTGGTGTAAAGTCCTAGAAGTCAACAACAATTGGAAGAAGTGTATTGGCAAAAAGGTAACTCGTTGTTTAGCTTTGGTAGGGGTCCTTTCTTGTGTTTGTGTCGAGCTTATGGCAACTTGAAACACTTCATTGATGTGGAGACTTTGGGGCGACGAGATGAGATGACAATTTCGAATGATCGTTCCTTTCTGGAGGAGGATCAACATTGGTTGTCGAGCATTGATTCTGGTTCTGGAGTTTCGACATATTTGGGTCATCTTAGTCATAGGTCGCCAACTGCTGCATTAGGAGTTATTGGATCTAGTGGAGCTGCTTCAGATTTTGGTTGATGTCGGATATTTGGTTACCCAGCATTTGGTCACATCGAGGATGTGAGATTTGATTCAATTACGCGTTTGGGATTCGGAGGCTCGTTTGATTATTGGTTGGGAGCTTCTGATTTTGTTCTGAGCAGTATGTCACTTTTGACTCTCAGCAGGTAGAGAGTGTTGATCAGGTCATTTGGATATCGCAACAAGTGGAGGGTGATGCTACTTCACGTTGGGAGGAACTTATTCCACATACTTCAGATCATACTACGTCATTTGGGATTCCAACTGAGGTGGCACAGGTTAGGGATCATTTGATTTCGGATGCAGATGATGGATCAGTTTTGGATTCGGTTGCAGCTGGTGGACATGATTTGGATACGATCATTGGTTCACCTCAGATGGAGGTGTTTGATTTGTATCAGTTTGGGGCCGCTATCAGTTACAGATTCATTAGCGATATTAGAGAAGAGTTACAGACTTTTCTATTTGATTAAGAGCCTTTGGAGGTCGTTTGGGTGAACTATGTGAAGGCTTGATTCCTTGGGCAAGAGGATACGTAGGCAGTCTTTATGATACAGCCGATTTGGTGAGTAGAAACCGATATTTGGGTGAGTGTTCGCACTCCCGTTTGAGTCTCGACTTGTTGAGGATTGAGAAGCAGCAAGTGAGGCATTTGGCTTGGTTGGTGTCAGCTCAGTTTTGGTAGAAACTTCGCCGAGGTAGAGAATTAAAGAAACCACGATGAATTTTGGTAAAGACCAGGTTTTAGAAGCACAGGAGTCTGTTTGGGAGCTGCGCGATCGACCGCGACGCAAGGTCGGTCGACCGCGAACGTGCACAGAACTAGGCATGAGCCTGGACTTGGTGCGGTTGACCGCCACGGTCGACCACAAAACCTTGTAGGCGATTTATGGTCTCTGTTGTTGGATCGCAGTCGACCGCCAATCGGGTCAAGGCCCAGTTTTGGTTTCCTGTTCTTATTTGTTTTTGGTGTTTGTATAAATACCAATACACGTTCTAGGGTTTCTTAAGGCTAGAGTTAGGGATATTTGGAGCACAGAAAGAAGATATTTTCTGAGCTATTTGATTAGGGTTTATTTGGAGAGATTAAGAGCTTTGTTGGTGAGATTAGTTTGTTCCTTCGAGTGATTTGTAATCTCAAGTTGTATTTTTCTTCTCTATTAGTGAAAACTTCATCCCCTTCTTGCCCCGTGGATGTAGACAATTGCCGAACCACGTTAAAATTGGTGTTTGGTGTTAGTGCATTGATTTTGGTTGATTTTTTGGCCCACTTTGATCGGCGTTTGGTTTGGTTCCTCGACACGGTTTTTCCACAATATCGCATACACCTCAGCTTCAGAAAAAGTTTCTAGTTTTTATATCCATCTTTTTTCCATCTAGTGTATCACCTTCAATGACATTCAGATTAACCCATCTCTTTCTAAGGTTAATTACCGTCCTCATATAATATATAAAACAAAATAACATTGTTAGCTACAAGTGTAGAGTGAATGGTTGTAATTCTATTTCCAAACATTGGCTCCGTAATCAAAGAAAAGACTTAATTGCTAATAGCTTTAACTTGGGGAATTTTAAGGCATGCATACACTACTAAACCAAAATTAAGGATGATTCCTGTGACAATAACATACTACATTGCTCGGTCAAATTGGAAGCATGGACAGGATTTACAATTGGGAATATGAGAGGAATATTGGAGGATCAATCTCATTTCTAATTTTTAAGCATGTGTGGATGGATGTGGGATGATAGTCATTGAAGATGACTAACAGGAGTACCAAGTCCATTTACAGAGAAACCAGTGTCATGCTATAAATCTTTAAATGGTTCTTTGCTTAAGTTCTTATCACCAAGCATGCACTAGACATGATTGGATGCACATGTCACCTCTGGATGTATATGAGAATTTGCTCTGGAAAATATCCTACATATCATAGGTATTGTATAAATAAATAAAAAACATTACATGCATACTCTCATAACAACCTATTTGAGAAAGTTAATTTACAGGACATTAATAGGCAAGAGCCAACAGAAAAGGCCAACATATATACCTTCTAAACATGCATGCTGCGTGTACAGTGTTTCATGAATGCATTTAACAATGTAGCTAAAGCTAACCTTCACAAAAGAATTGACAGTAAAAATGGCTAGGTCCGGATGGCTCTTTGCATAGTTTATAAGATACAGGTAAACAAGATTCTTCAGCTCCAAGTTCTCTTTTTGCATGCAGTTCACCACATCAATTAAGAAAGAAACATCCTTTCCAGCAGTCATTGCAGGAATAACCTTTTTCGGCGCATCTTTCTTCTTGTCCTACAGAAAGGAAAAAAATGAACAAGGTAACATCCAACTGTTAGCAAGAAATTTAAAAAACAATGAATAGATCTACACCTCGAAGGACATCCACTTCAAAAAACGATGCCAGCAGAAATTAAAATTACTGAATGTGCACTTTCAGAACACAACACTAAATATGATTTCCTGCCAAAGAAGTAACACTAGAAAATAAGTAATGATCTATGATGCAAAGGCAGTATATACGCTGGCAGTTGTACTTCGACAATAGACTAAAACCTGAATCGTAAAAAGGCCACACTTCAACTAAGCTGTCGCTGACTATAGAACCCGCTACAAGCTAAATTTTTAATTTGGCAAGCGACAGGACTTTCCCTGCAATATGACAATAACTTCTTTCAAATAATATACTTGTAAAGAGAACATCTCTCGACATGCAGTGCACCGCACAGTGTTCCAAAATTTCGCTGCTATTACAAGACAGATGGAAAGTAACAACACAGTATAAGTCATTGGATAATACATCTAATAGTCAATTTAAACACCACATAAATATGATCGATTACTTTGAACACCAAAGCCCAGATGGCATAAACTTGGAAACAGAAATGATTTGTTTTGGGCATATTTGTCTACCCATTATGTTGGTTGCCACCTTGGTGCGCAAAGGACTGTCGGCCACCTCTTGGATAAGCTCGCCTTCCCCTACCCCTAGAGGAGGCGGAGGACCTCCCCTGGTTAAACTGCAGTGAAGCACACCTGATATCAGCTTGTTGGTTAAAAGCAGGTGGAGGCAGCCCATGGCTCTGCTCCTGAGAAGGGTTCAGATTACCATAACCAAATGGCACATGACTAAATCCAGATTGTCCAATGATCCCAGCAAGAGTCGACGAAGATGACAATCCATCAAACCACTGAAAGTTACCAGGGAGCACTCCAGCTCTAGAAACAAGCTGCTGCTGCTGCAAGTGCTGATATGGCATTATTCCACTAGCGAAATTGTTAAAAACTTGATTCTGGTTTTGGAGATTATAAGTTTGATCTCCAAACTGCTGAGAAGGTAACAAATTCATTGGAAGTCCTCCTTGTATTGCTATAAGCTGCGGCTGAGGAAATCCTCCTTGTATGCCCATGGATGGCTGGGCTTGAGCAGGAAACTGTACAGAATGGGGCTGAGGAAATCCTCCTTGGACGCCGATGGGTGGCTGGGCTTGAGCAGGAAACCCTATAGATTGGGGCTGAAGTAGAAATCCTTGTGTATTCAACTGCTGAGGTGTATGAAGAATGTTACCTGCAGCCCTATGATCATAATTGCAATTGTTGTATCCCTCACTATTAAGGGATACATGAACCTGTCCTTCTTGGCCAGCCAGTTGCTGGCTCATTCTTGCTACTGGCAGTGATTGAGGAGGTTGGAGATGCTGGCCCCTCTGAAACCCGGAACCCTTATAATTAGCTTTCTTGCCTAACCCAGTCTCCTGTTTCCCATAGTTTGCATCCCGCTTACTTTGACGGAGAGATCTCTTGTACTCAGCTTCCTTTTCATCATCAGAGAATTCCACTTCGTCAGTGGCCTCCTCGTCATCGATACCTGATGCATCATACCCTTTCTCATAGAGGCACTTTTCATTTAGAATATGGTTGGCAAAATCCACAACAAAAGAAATGGCAACACCAGTGCTGATTCCTTGAGGAACTTCATCATCAGAGTTGTACCTGACAATATAGAAGGGGTTCTTCACAGGTCCAAATATTTCATCGATTCTTCCTAGCGGCAACCTGGTTTCAGTAATCCAGAGAATGGATCCCTCATTGAGAGGGTTGTGCTTCTCCGATCCCTCCACAATGACTCTGCTGCTCAATATCTGGGGCAAAGTGAAGACGTAGTTAGATTTGGAGCAGCAGCAAAAGAGAATATGGAGTCATATATATATATATATATATAATTAAATAAATAATTAATTAACTACATGCAAAATAATGTAGCATGCACAAAGGATTAAAGTAAGTTGAGTCTGCATGTAAAGTATGTTAAGCACTTCACATGTTTAAGTTTGATACAGATTTTTCACAAAATTGAATTTCACAATGAAAATTAGAAAATATCTGATTTAAGTCCTGAAGATCTACTATTGAAAATAACAGCAAAGTTTTGACATTGTGAAATAGCAGCATATGGCTTCAAAGGATGCAGCTGGAGAAGAAACAAGTTGTTTATATTTTTTCAGCTCATACTTGTTTAACCATATGCTCTGCCTGTGCCAATATAAGAAAAGCTCTGAAGTTAACCAGTAAACCTGAAAAACCTCCACGCAAGATATCCATCACCTAAGTAAATATATACTTCATTTAAAGAATAAAAAGCCTCATGCCTTTCACTCTCAAGCTCAAAGCGGAGAAAGCCCTTCTTTCTCGACCTAAAAGAGAGAGAGGAGGAAAAAAAGAAGAAGCAACCTTGTCAAGACAGTACAGATAGTGGACTTAAGAGGACAATAAAATGGCTTGCTCACCCTTCAAACCATTATAACAAGTCAATATATCAATAAGCAGAATACTATGAAACTTGCATAAAAGGTTCTTAGAGATTTTGGAGTCAAGTACTATAGTAGCATTCATGAGACTACAAGAATAGGACCCAAAGCATCTGCAGAAGCTAGAAGAAAGTCATTACTTTGAAGTGAAGTTCAGAACCTGGCATGAACTTGATATGAAACAAATCATCAAGTTTATCACGTACTAGGGTGTTCATATTTTTATTATACATCCATTTATCAAACTCTGTTGTGCACAATCACTGAGGAGTTGAGAGGCCTAAGATCAATATCTTAAGAAATAAACCGATACCATGACTCATAGAACGAACATGAAGTAGAAAGGAAAACAAAATGAGGGATCACAAGTTTTCAAGGACTTACAGACGACACAACTCCAACTGGCAAAGTCTGATGGTGTGGTTCCAGAGATACTTCAAGCGGAGGAACTGGAGGGAGATCCTACAGCAGCAATGTTCAATGCATAATAAGGTCAGTCTCAGGGGGGAGGGGAAAAAAGCTTTATCGCAAGGGAATTATGTGCAAATGCACACACATGCTTACAAGTTTACAACAAACATAGAATAAGCACACAATTCAATAACAGTTTGCAAGAACAAAAGTATATATATCTCATAGATTATACAGCTAACATCATTGATGCATCTTGACAGCAGACAGAAAAGCCAAATTTTATCTATTAGAGTTTTGTAAATAGAATCGGGATCAACCAAACCAAGGAAGACTCATAACATGAAATTTATATAGCAGATAGTGCATACAATAAATTATAGCAGATAGGGCATACAATAAATTTAGAATATACAAAATATATACCCTGACAAGCAGAGCACGCATTAGGCCTTAGCACCCAAACAAGTGTTAACATGCTTCATTTGTGCATATATTCCCAGAGATGTTTAGACATTTATTTATGAAAGTAATTGGTGAAATTCTTATGATGATTTTACCTCAATTTCATGCTTTGATTTGATGGGTCCTCTTGGAACTTCCTCTTCCCCATCGCTGCCTAATATCACTTCATCAACCTTTATCTCGCCCTCTTCAACTTCAACTGCTGTTACCCCCTTGCCCTCATCACCTTCCTCATCACTACTCGAAGATTCATCATCACTACTCGAAGAAGAAGAAGAAGAAGAAGAGCCATCACTCGAAGAATCATCCTCCTCCTCCCCCGCACTGCTTTCTTCCTTCAAATCACAATCAGTTGCAACCTTGATTGGATCAGTAGTTGGACAAATCTCCTCACTAACTCCATCGTTATTAACTTCTACCAAGCTCACTTTCTCCATCTTGACGTCGATAGATGGCTCCAAGATGTGATCTTTGAGGATGTTGTCGAGGGAATTATACATAGGACTGAAATCAGCAGGATCAACAAGCCACTCTTTGATGGGATCGAAGTCAACAAAGTAAGAATCGTCAAGCCACTCTTGCTGCTGCTGATGATGATGATGATGATGATGCTGGACCATTACTTACTAGGCTTCTTTGGGTGGGGTTTTCTAAAGCCCATTTACTTATTTATTTTGGAAAAAAAAAATAGCAGCAGTCAGAAATTTTCGCAAGTCTCGGTTGTAGGCTGCGTAGGGGTGACAACCGTTCGGGTCGGGTAAAATTTGACACAAATCCGAAATCCGGAATAATATTCTAGAAATTGTCTGTCTGGTGTTTGTTGCTCCGCGGCCCCTTGAGACTCGGGCCATCTCAAAACGCCTTCCCCTCTTCTCTCTCTCCACAGCCCAAGGGGGAGAAAAAAACAATAATAACATAATAATAATGATAACGATAATAATAATAATAAAAGGAAAAAAGAAAAAAAAAAGAAAACTTTATCTCAGATCTTTCCCAATACTGAATATAATTATAATAAGGTTCTCCACCCGGCTTCTTCTTCTTATCCTACAGTCGAACGCAAAACACAAAGAAGCGTGAACAATGAAGCTGCTTTTATTTTATTAATTAATATTATTGTTATTATCAATAAATCAAGAGGGAAGATCCAAGGACATGGCAACAATGAAGCTGGGATCCAAATCTGAAGCCTTGCAACTTGATGGATGCACATGGTATCATCCTCTATTTCTATTTTATTTATGTGTACTTCATCTATTTTATAATTTATTTATCCTCCTACATTGTGATCCTGCTGCTCATATTCATTTCCATAATTTTTATATCATTAATTTAAAATCTCCCCCTAATGAGGTCATCGTCATCTTAAAATCCTATCTTTAATACTTATAATTTTATATCTTTAATTAAACTAAAATTCACACCCCCTCCCCCCCCCCCTAATGAGCCACTGGGGTGTTATCATATTTTTACCTTGTCATGAAAGCTAATCCTAAATCTGTTCCCTAATTCATTGACTCGTTTTTTTAAAGGTTTCTTTCTTCACTGAAAAATCAGCTCCCATGGGGTTTGAAGTCGTCTTTGTTTTTTTTACTCTTAAGGTATTATATATAGGAAAAATGTATACGAGCTGACAGTCCATTTTGCAAAATGAGCTGTTAGCTCAGTTTTATGGATTGCGAGCCCCTTACTGGTCACATTAATGAGGGGCTTCATATGTCATAGAGTTGGTAGTCCATTTTGTAAAATGGGTTGTCTCTATGACATATGAAGCCCCTCATTAATGTGACCAGTAAAGGGCTCGCATGCCGTAGAGCTGAGCTGACAGCTCATTTTGCAAAATGTGCGGTCAGAGCTCATAGCTAGTGGCCTCATTATATATTTATTTGTTTCCTTCTAATGCCTGTAGGCAGATACACGTACGTGCAACGCACCACAATCTAACTAATGGCTTCTTTTACTTTCCTATGTAAGCCTTGTGCGTTCCAGCGGCCTTGTTGTAATAATTTAAGCAAGCTGTCCCTCCGTTTAGACTTAATTTGTAAAATGACCTTTCATCAGGATTGGCGATAAGCCTTTGGACACAAGAACGTCCATCTTTACAGCACGCGATACTTGCTGCAAAATGCATGGAACCCATCATTCTCTCTTTCTCTATCTTTATGTTTTTATGATTTTTTTTTTCCTTGTCATTATATCTTTTTGTTGCTGTTAATATATATCATGTCAGACCCTCAGTTTAACTAACAGGATATAAAGGCTGATTTTTTAGTATGCAGATTAATTAATATATATTGTTTTTAGTTTTCTATTAATTACGTTGCAACTCTGGTTATATATATAGTCTGCATGGAACATAATGAGCATCCATATATCGGCTAATCAACTGCTTTATGTTCTGCTAATTTGTAATTGAGTAAACTTTGGTCTTTCAGGGTTTGTAAAAGTGAGCTTGTTAGTGATGTTGTCATTGAAGTGGGAGAAATGTCCTTTCATCTCCACAAGGCAGGTTCTATATATGCTGCAGCTAATCACACATTTATTATTTTATTAATTTCTCTAACACCTCCCTGTATATCTTACAAATTATCTTCCCTTTTTGCAGTTTCCTTTGCTGAACAGAAGTGGTCTGTTGAAAAAAATGATTAGTGAATTCCAAAGTCCAGACGGGAAATGTTGTGTGTTGCAGCTCCATGACATCCCTGGTGGTGCCCAGTCGTTTGAACTTGTAGCGAAATTTTGTTATGATGTTAAGATAGAACTCAATGCTCTTAATGTGGTCAGCCTACGATGTGCAGCGGAGTTCCTTGGCATGACTGAAGACTGTGTAGGTGGAAACCTTATTTTGCATACTGAGAACTTCCTGTATGAAGTTTTCGACAGCTGGAAAGACTCCATTAAAGCCCTTGAAACATGTGATGAAGGGATTCTCTCCCAGGCTGAAGAGCTCCATATTGTGACAAGATGCATCAATTCACTTGCAGTGAAGGCTTGTGCTGATCCCTCTCTTTTTGGATGGCCGGTGGTTGGAAGGATTTCGATGAAGAGCCCTGAAGACAGCAGCAGTATTCCTTGGAATGGCATCTGTACATTAGAAAAATCAGTGAGCTCTGCAGGTGGAGGAGGAGGAGATTGGTGGTATGAAGATGTATCTTTCCTCAGTTTACCTCTGTACAAAAGACTAATCCTGGCCATGGATTCAAAAGGGATGAAGCCAGAATATATTGCAGGATCTCTCATGTTCTATTCCAGGAGATTTCTTCCAGGCTTGACAAGGGCCTCGAGCTTCCGGGAAGGCCCCAACAGGATCAATCCTGCAGCAGTCTCAGCACCTACGGAGAGTGACCAGAAGGTTCTTCTTGAGGAGATAGTTGGGTTGCTTCCCACGAAAATGGGAGTGACCCCTACCAAGTTTCTGCTTCGACTGCTCCGGACCGCCATGATCCTACATGCAAGCCCTTCTTGTCGGGAGAATTTGGAGAAGAAAGTTGGATCCCAGTTGGATGAAGCTGCCTTGGAGGATCTTCTCATACCAAATCTGGGCTACTCCATGGAAACTCTTTATGACATCGATTGTTTCCAGAGAATCCTTGACCACTTCATGCTCAGTGATCAATCAGCATCCGCTATTTCTACAACTTCTCCTGGCATAACAACAGATGAGCGTCAGCTTGCAAGCTCTTGTTTATCCCTGACGCCAATGACTATGGTGGCAAAGCTTGTTGATGGTTATCTTGCAGAAGTTGCACCTGATGTGAATCTGAAATTTCCGAAGTTCCAATCACTAGCAGGTGTCATCCCTGAATATGCGAGGCCTTTAGATGATGGAATCTATCGTGCAATAGACATATATCTAAAGGTATATTTCAAATTACTAGTGTGCCTACTTTTTTGAGCCAGCATTTAATTAGAAACTATCTCTAATTCATATGATGTATACATATATCTATTAAATGTGTCAGTCGCATCCATGGCTGACAGACTCAGAAAGGGAGCAGCTTTGCCGACTAATGAACTGTGAGAAGCTGTCATTGGAAGCATGCACACATGCAGCACAGAATGAGAGGTTGCCCCTCAGAGTTGTGGTGCAGGTCCTCTTCTTCGAGCAACTTCGCCTGCGAACCTCCATTGCGGGATGGTTCTTCGTCTCCTCTGACAACAACTCCCGTCCTCATCATCATCCTCATCCTCATTCTCATCCTCATGGAGAAGCCCACAAGAATGATCTCTTCCCACCGACAGATGACATCACAATAGATGATGAAAAGGATAACGATCATCATCAACTCTTAGCTGTTGACGAGATGAGGTTGCGGGTCTCCGAGCTTGAGAGAGAGTGTTCCAGCATGAAGCAAGAAATTCGCAAGCTTGGCAAGCAAAAGACTGGATGGGGTTTTTTCTCCAAAAGGTTTGGGCTTGGCTCCAAATCACATCTACTTTGAAAGACAAATGAACCACTAGAGTTTTGTAGCTTACTTCACCCAACGAAAGAAGTTAAATTTTCATTTACATAAATCTCACAACATTGGTTTATTTTTCTTCTATTTTGTTATATTTATTTATTTATTCTTTTTTTGCATATTCGATTTATTGATGCTGACTTTTCTCAGTATTTTGTTTTTGAGATTGATGACTGCATTCAGTTGTAACTGTGTAGAAGGTGGGTTGTAACTCCAAAATAGCAATATTGTGGTCTTCTATGTAATTAGTCATGGAAATGTTGAGGAGCCATTACGTGTCTTTTTTCTATATTGAATTTGCTTTTTTCTTATTGTTTTTCCCCCTCTTTTTTTTCTTTTTCTTATTTCAAAGATGACTGTTAATAGTGAACCTTTTTCTTTTTTTTTTTTGCCCCCTATATAAGATGAAGAAAGCAAAAAAGAAAGGGAACAATGAATAAATCTGCCTTACTGCAAATTGTTAAGATTTAGTTTTGTTCTATGATCATGCTTTCTATATAGGTCTGGCAGAGACCAGTTCTTGTTTCAATGGTTTTTGGCAGACAGGGTTATGTTACACTCGTTTTTATGTTCTGAAGTTATTTTTAATCATATACCCGTTTATGGAAAGATATATGCATTAGTTAAACAATTCTGATGGAAGCAACAAAAAGTATCACAAAATGAGGATATGGTTTTGTTTTGTTTTAATGAGGGTTTTTTGGCGAATGGGCTATATATTATCATATTTGCGGTCGTGTTGTGAAGTTTTGTGATCATGCACTTACTTATGTTTCTTAAACACTTCTACTAACTTGATACGGCACTCAACTTGATCCCGATTTGGTTTTCTGAATTTGGAAACTGTTGCTGCCCCTAGTGTAATTTTGAAACTGTTGTGAGTATTAAAACAATGTTGAAGTTGCTTATCATATATTCCAGTAATGTTGATTATCATGTATAATGTTGAGTCATGTATCTAAGTTGACTCCTGCAATGTTGCTTATCATATATTCCCACAAGTGTTTATCATATACATGATCAAGTTAGTGTAAATTTGCTTACTCACAACAATATAATGTTGCTTATCATATATTCCCTCGATATGCTTGGGTAGAATGTTATTCATTAAGTTTGAACCACATTAAATTTATATTATTTGGTGGAGAAAGGAGTTATTTCTCCATCAATGCAAATGTGAGCATATATGAATATGGGTTTCTGACATTTATCAACTTGTTGATTATTGACATTCCATATGGATGCTTGTTAGGTATATTAATTATTTTAATTTGATGTTTTCATCGTAGACGGATGATGATGGGGATTGTATCGATGAACAAAATGTTGTTAACATAGTTCAAAGGGCTGCACTATCTGTTTTTGTTATAATAAATATTTACATTCATAAGGAGAATGCAAGATAGACGTAAATCAATTCGTAGTGGTCCAAGTAAGGAAAACAAGAAAACAAGAAAGGGCTAGAATTGAACACATAGAGCGTATTTATAATAGTTTTAGTGATAGCTGTGTAAACTACATTAAAATGTGGAGTGGTGCTTTTGTTAAACTAGCAAGTATAATGAGGAACAATAGACCGCTAAAAGACTCAAGGAATGTAACAGTGGAAGAACAGCTTATTATGACACTGGACATTTTGGGTCATAAATCTAAAAATTGCATTGTGAGATGTCATTTTATAAGATCAGGGGAGACAGACAGTAGATATTTCAATAAGGTATTATAAGAAATTATTTGCCTGTGTGGACACTACATGAGACAAGCTCTCAATGACATTCTCTAAGAGATCGTTAACAACCCGCTATACTATCCTTATTTCAAGGTATATCTACACTTTTGTTGATGTTAAATATCACACGACTAAATAAAATCACGGAGTTTGCAATGGGCCGCTTTCTTCTTTGACTTTATGCCTGATTCTGGGCTTAGGATGAATGAGCAATCTGCACACAAAGAGTCGTAAGAGGGCGAGGATAAATTCCCCAGTGGTACCTCTGATGATCAAGTTAGTTATTGAACTTGAGCTTGAGTGGAATCACAGAACTTCGTATTCTTTTTTGGGGGTTTTTTTATTGCAAACCTCTATCTATGGCGAATAGCATCTACCTTTATGGGGGATGCCGAGGGCAGGTTGGTCACTCCATGGGTGAGTAGTAAGACGGTAATGAGGCGATAAGGAGTGAGTTGGAAAATAAATCATCATTTGCTCCACTGATGTTGGTTTATGAGTGGTGGGAGATCACTTTGGCCGCATTGGGAGCCAGCAGCCGACAAGTCTTCAAGACTATTGAGGAGTGACACTGCATGATGATCATTAAAGATTAAACAATGTTGATAAGTGATACATATGCTGACAGGTTTGAGATAGGGGCAATCCTTTAGCTTCGTTAAGAAGCTCATAGGATCATATCTTTGAGTTGTTATTCTTCGTGTCGACTAACACCGCCTTTCACAGCGACTCAGGAGTGTCGACATCTCCGACTGGTTGGAATGTCGTCTCGTCTTAGCTAATGACCGTCTCTCGAGTCGATATAAAGATGTCAACTCATCTGGGAGGTTAGGATCTCTCATATTGATTATCACCGCTTCTCGCGCCGACACCGGGGTGTTAGCTTGTTGGGCTGATTGAAATGCTGACTCATCAAGTCATATATTTGTGGAACAGATATACCCCATAACAATTAGCCCATTTTTGCTTGAATTCAGCTTGAGCCGAATCCGAGTAAAATAAAGATGATCAAAGGACAAAATAGGAGAATAAACAGTTTCATTTAAAGAACCGTACTATATGGCGTCAGCGGGCATCATCATAACTGTAGCAGGCTGCTCTCCTGGCAGAGTACGGGCTCTTCGAGGTAAAAGAGAGTGGGCGCGCTTCATCTTTCGTGAGAATTTTGAATTCCGAGGATAGATCCTAACTATATGAGGTAACTGAATCTAACACCTCGAATATTGACAGCTGTAAAGACGGAGTTTATTTTTATTTATATGTAAAATCACCATACACTGCTATCATCCTTTCAAATTCTCTTCTGAACTGTTGATCTTCTTCTTTAATCTTTCTTGCCCTCCTGCTCGTTCTTCCTGCTAACTATCCTTCCGTCCCTTTATGGCTTTAGAAGCGGTTGATCGTCGAGATTTTCTGTAAAATATTCATTCCAAAGTGACATTGTCCCAATTGAGGATGATGTCTAAGAAGTTTGATATCCCT